ACTTGGTTAGCTGGAGCTCCGTCTATTCATCTGGATCCTTCTGAACAGTCTGTTTTTGAAATTTGGTGTCATCAGATAGAATTAGCGAGAGTTTCTTCAAATAGTCAGACTTGTTAAGCAGAACAATTCCAGAACCTTAGTCTGGTCGAGTTATTATCAAGTTTTCATTTGATTTCACCTGTAAATATCTGAGTCTATGTGACATAGAACATAAATCCTATACGAAACCTAGATCATGTAGGATTCTTTTGCCAGTCCAGTCCAACATATGCCTGTCTTGTAATTCCCCCTCTCCCCGCCAAAGGTCTACCGCTTTTACATTTTCCCTTTGCGTCGCTTAAGGTATACTTTATTAAAGTACATCTAATAATGTTATTCTTAACACATGACAACATTTCACAGACATCCTCTTATCTCTTCAAAATTATATATATATATATAGATATATTCTCAATAAAATGTATCTACGCTTGAATGAGTGATCAACAGTCACTTCAATGAAGTGTTAATTCTCTAATGAAAAAAAACAAACGAAAAAAACAATGATTAGACTACTAGAAGATATAATCGTTTCATGCGGAAAGTAGTCCATACATGTAAAATAATGAAAAAAATATTGTTTCTAGTTAGATATTAGAAGAGTATATACTAACTGGTGATGGTTATGGACGCTTACCTGAACAAATTTCACTGAAACTATCCATCAAATACAAAGTAACCAATTGGTGATATGAAGTTAGTGAAATGTAAAACTCAAACTTTCGGTATAGTAAAAGTGGAAGGCATGTCTCTGTGGGTGTGTCTGTGTAGGTAGAATGCTCGCTAATCACGAATGTGGTCTGAGGTTCGATTCCCGGTCGAAGCATTCCTAAATCCTGCTTAGCTTGCATACACTCCCGAGGAAGAGGAAAGTTTGGGAGTTGGGTTGGCAATCCCACCCTGTAAAACAAAAAGAAAACGCTACCTCAAATGAAGCCTCAAAGGTTAAACTTGAAGCCCTATGTCACATTCAGAACGCCAAGGAATGAAAGCAATACTCGTGTCTGGGTATACAAAACAATGTAAGAAAGACAACTTTAAGAAAAACAACATCACTGACTAAAAATATATATACAAATTTCATTAGAATACAAAGTAACATAGAAAGGAAAGAAAGACATTTAGGAATTCCTATAAAAATCCTTTCTCTCTTAAAAGTTGCTAGGATTGATGTTAGATGGTTAGAAGCAATCGGCAGGAAGTCTTGAAACTAGGTTTTGTGCTAGCTGGCACTCATCAGTCAACAAGGCATATCTGCAACCTTGAAGGAAATCGTTTCCTTTTTGATATTCGAACCCGCGTCACCCAGTGCTGCAGTCAGAGATGTTACCACTGAGCTATTCGAGCTGCGAATGACTTCCTGTAGGACTGTAGTGGGTACACTAGTAACTAGTGTGGCGTGTCTAGTCCTTTCTTTGGTGCAGACTGAATTCTATCAGTCAGGTTCGCTTTTATCTTTGTGTATTGAAACTCACCTGATGCCTTACTTTTAAAAATATTAGATTCGTGAGGACCTCATTAATTTCAAAGTAAACATCGTCATAAAATGTAGGTAGTTACAGATAAAACAGTTCTCCAGTGTTCTATGGTCTTCATTAGCACTCTAAGTACTGTTGGATTGTGATTAAATTTACTTCATTTTCTCTCTTATTCTTTAAAAGTCAAAAAAGTATTCATTTCAGATACTTATCGATTAGTGAATCTGATGGTTCAAGGTAACGACTAAGATGCATAACTTTCTTCTTATCTCAAAGAATCTTATCAATATTCCATAATAGAAATTGGTTCTCTGTTTTTGTTAGCAGTGACTTTTATTCAACCATTACCTTTCACCACATTGTTAACTTCCTCATCTTTTGAAATAATAACTATTATGAGCTGACATTATTTAGAGAACCATTGGAAAACCTGGGAGTACTGGACAGCTGTTTCGTCAGCCTAGTTTAGGACTCTTCATCAGTACGCACCCACCACCAGCGTTCGAACCCAGGACCTTCTGGTTACAAGGCGAGCTCGTATACGATTAGGCCACTGGGGTTCTAGTGAGAAGTCGTGACCAGTAGGGTGCAGCAGGTCGGGTGTGAGGACAAATACTCGCCGAAGACATTGGCTAGGGGTCGCGCTATGTCGTGAATTGGCAGAGGTTAGAATTCATGGGCTGGCCATTGGATAGGGTCCCAGTGGATCAATGGTCTACGAGCTCGTCTTGTAACCAGAAGGTCCTGGGTTCGAATCCCAGTGGGTGCTTACTGTGAAGAGTCCCAAACTGGGGCGAAACAGCTATCCAGTACTCCCTGGTTGGTTTCCAATGGTTCTCTAACTAATGTCAGCACATGATGAAAATCCTGTAACCAATTAAATCCCTACAAACCAACACTTGAATCACTATTATGTGTATTCCCTTGAGTCCCGAGTGGAACATTCGACTTCAAAAGCACGTAGCCACTTCACTACTTTCTCTGCAGTTCTTTTCAAATGGCTGCGTGATTGCCTGTAAGCTTTCATCTCCTTCTCATACGATTACCTGTTTACCATCCTCAAACGCTCAACTTGACGTTTCTCATTCGGGCGGTCTGGTGTGTGATGTGACTAACTGATAAACTAAGACGTTGGAAGATATCACTATGAGCTGACATCAGTTAGAGAGCCATTGGAAAACATGTGAGTACTGTACAGCTGTTTCGTCATAGTCTGGGACTCTTCGTCAGTAAGCACCCACCGGATTTCAAATTCGCCAACCAATCAAACAAAAATCCCTACAAAACCAATACTTGAAAACTAAGATGTATCTAAACAAAATACTTGAAATTTAGAGTTTCCACTCTGAGAGACAATTACTTCCAGCTAGTTAATATGTACAAGTCGTCCAGCTTCAAAATCCCGGTCAAACGAATTCAGTTTTTGTCTTCTTTATACTTAATGAAGCACAAAGTAAGATATCAAATGCACCCTGTTCCTAGTTAAATTTTATACGGATTCCTGTTTTTTTCTTGTGTGTAAATTTTCATATGTAACTGCAGATACTGTAGACAACAGATAATCCGGCAGACGGATATACGCTTCATTTTGACACTCAGTCAAAATAAGATGATAAAACATGTGTCAGAATACAGTTCGACAAAATAATCCTTGCAGAATACTGTACTTCTGCTGTACAAATTAGGATTTCTATAGATCATCTTTTGAAGAATACTATAATCAAGCTGCATCAGAATAAAGGTAATTACGAGAAAGAACTATAACTTTTGCTTAAATATACAAACATGAATGTCAATAACAAAACCACCTTCGAGGTACATCCTATTTATAAGTATCGATATAAATGATGTATACCGTTGCTATAATATATCTAAGTAACTTGAAAAATAAGACCCTTAAAAATCTACAACCAGCGAATCAATGGTTTAGTGACAGAATGCTCACGAACCACGCTGGAGGTTTGAGTTTGATTGCCGACCAATATACTCCAAAAAACTGGCAGAAGAGTCTGGCTGTCAGCGAAGACAGGACTCCAGGTGAACATAGAGAAGACGGAGGTGATGAAGATACCCACCCATCAACACCACCACCAACAACAACAACCAGGGGGAGAGATTTGACGAGGTTACTTCTATCACTTATCTAGGCAGTCAGCATCGTTTCAACCACAGGCCAGTGGAATGGATGGAGATGTCAAAGCCAGCCAGAATCGGAAAGGAAAGATATGCCTTCATCAACCTGAAATCAGTTTGGAAATCTTCTACACTCAGCCAGCAAGTATTATTATTATTGTTTCCTTTAATTCCTAGAGGAACATAGGGCTTCAGCCATGCGTCTCCATTGCGTTCGGTTCTCTGCTAGAGTCTTCACCTGGCTCCAAGTCTGCCCACACGTTTTCATCTCCTCTTAACATTACCTCCTCCAAGTTACCCTTGCACTGACGACCAACTCGCCACTTCCCATTCGGGTTCCATTCGAGCAATGGCTTGTCTAGTGATGTCACTTGATGGTTTGTTTCCTCAGAGTATGGCCGATCCACATCTAATTCTTCCTACAGATTTGTTTCACAATCAGTTCCTGGTTGGTTCGCTCCCAGAGATCTCTGTTTCTGATCTTTTCTGGCCGGCCATCTGATCTTGAGTATTGAGCGAAGACAGCTGTTAATGAAGGTTTGTTTGAAGTGCTATACGTGACGCGCCAAGTCTCTGATCCGTATAGTAGCACTGACTTCACATTGGAGTTGAAAATCCGGATGTTATTTTTGATGCTGAGTGCTGTGGACCTCCACACAGACTTGAGAGTAGTGAAAGTCAGCAAGTAGAACAAGATTAGGATTTTCAACACAAATGTAAAGTCAGTAAGTACTTCTATGTAGGTCAGAAACTTGGCCAGCGTGTCACGGAAAAGATTTTCAACAGGCACCTGAAGACTTTTTATCAGTAGCTGCTTTCTCTGCCTCTATACTGAAGATCAAATGGTTGACCGGCTGGCCAAAAAGAATTAGCGACAAGAAACTCTGCCTGAGAACAAACCAACCAAGATCTGATGGCTCAACAAATATATTGAAGAATATGGAGATGGATCAGACATACGTTGAGGAGACTATTGAATGACATGGCGCTCATTGTCAGCCATCGTTCAAGTGGAACCCTAACGGGAAATGATGAGTGTGGCGATGGTGACGATGGTGAAACAGAGGAGATCATATGTTAGGGAGGAGGAGATGAGAGATTATGGGCAGTCGTGGACCCAGCAGGAGAGGACAGCAGAAAATAGAACAAAGTGGAGATGTATTGTTGAAGCCCTATGTTCCACTCAGAACCCAGTGGAAAAATAATATCATGAACAAAAAGCTTTCTTTTCTCTTCTGTATGATTATAATCCCTGATGATAACAATAAAATCCATACTAATGTTCGAATGTTTCTGTTTTATGAAAACATTAAAGCATACAGGATCATTGTTTCATTTACTTTCTAGCAAATGCATACTCTTATCAGTTCATTATCAATTTCATGTACATGTACGTATCCATGGCTGACAAAAAAAAAACATTATTAGGCTATTCGATTACTTTTTATACGCAAGCGAATAATTCTGTTTTATACAAATATATATATAAATATATTACCACCCACTAAATTATGAAGTAAATATGAACAAACAAGTATGCTGTACAAAATGCTGTTTTCATTGAATACATGGATAGAAGTATAGAAGAATATACTTACTACTTTGGTTAGATAACATAAACAGCAACAATAATAACAATAATATAATCCTAACAGAATATTTTACCTAAAGATACATTTATTCATCAACTGAATATAAAGACTGAAATCCATGTAGTTAATTATTTGTAATTTTCAAGTCTACGAGCTCACCTTGTAACCAGAAGGTCCTGGGTTCGAACGCTGGTGGTGGGTGCGTACTGATGAAGAGTCCCAAACTAGGCTGACGAAACAGCTGTCCAGTACTCCCAGGTTTTCCACTGGTTCTCTAACTGATGTCAGCTCATGATGAAATCCTCCATGCAATTATTTGTAAGCCAGTAACACTTAGATCTACAGAAACTCGATTCTTTACTTTCTCCGGCAGTTTCTGGCTTCAACAGTATAATGAGTTTGAATCCCCATTAATTGCCTAGAGTTATAGTAAGAAGTCGAAAGGTGTGAGGGGGGAGGATAAATACTCACCGATGTCACTGACTCTGGAGCTATAAATATCGCGAATTGTCAGAAGTCAGAATTAATGGTAGTCTGGATTCAGTGCTAGTGGTTGGCTGGTCAACTGGCTCACGTCCTGCTCTGAAGGTCCTAGATTCAATACTCAGGAGCATCGTTCGGGGTGCGTATTGCTGAAGAATCCTAAATTAGGACGAAGCAGCTGTCTAGTACTCCTTGGTTTTTAATAGTTCTCTAGCTGGCATCACTCCATCATCAAACCTAAAAAAATATTTATGTATATATGTATAATTTATTACATTACTAACGGTAATTTTACAATACTGGATACTATATTGATGTACTGAAAAGAAATGCTGACAAGCCACGGTTTGATTCCAGCCTTTCAAATTTAAGTTAATCGCATATTATCTAATATTATTCATCCATTCAGATGACTAGTCATAAATATGTTGGAACCTACATTTTTGAATTCAACTCCCCACAATTGGTACATAACATGTATTCACCGTCTCAGAATAGTACTAAGCATATTTATATATATACTCAACAGAGTGAAGGTCAGAAACCTTCCACTGTCAGGATGAGAGCTTGTGTTTATTAACTAACCACACGTTTCCGCTTGTAGTGTACACTATGTAGATTCATACTGTTTTGCTTAATATTAAAGCTGACAAGACTATCCGTCTTTATTCTAATACTAGAACAACTTATACATCTGAAACTATCTAAAATTGTAACCTCATGTTTGACTTATTTATTAAGTGTAGCACACAATGATGCAGTATTATATGCTGAATAAGCATCGTTCACCTCTTTTATTACAACTACATGCTAGTGATTGATTCAAATGAGTAGTTGGATACAACTCACATCAACCAGTAGTGCTTGCTAGCCAGATTACAATGATCTAAACACCAGATGGGCTTTTCTCTCGTTTGGGGCCACCTTGTTCGGTGGGCTACCTCGAACAGACACAACTGAGCTCTGCTATCAATGGAACAACCTACTATCGCCGATATGTTGATGACACATTTGTTGTTTGCAACGACATGGATCACGCATTGGCATTATATGATCGCCTAAATGAGACCCATCCAAATATCAAATTCACCATGGAATATGAACATATTAATGAGTTCAACTTCCTGGGTCTAAATGTAAAAAGAACAAACGAAGTTACGATCGAATAGTCCATCTATGGAAAAGAAACCTGTACAGGGCGATATCTTCACTATAACAGCTTTTGTCCCATAAGCTATAAACGTGGACTAGTGAGGACTTTGTACGACATAGCCAGGAAGCTATGTTCACCGAACAAGGTCGAAGAAGAATAAGGTTTCGTTGAGAAGTGCCTAAGAGAAAATGCATACCCTAAAGGATTTATACAGAAGTATAACAGAGAAAAAGATAATAAAGAAAAACACCCAACTGTTAAAAAGGAGAAAGTGTTTATTTGTCTCGTATTCAAAAGAGATGCAGTGTCACAAAAAATTGACGAAAGATTGAAAGGTGCAACAAAAAGAAGCTTCCCTGCAGCTAAACTCATAACATTATACAGCACCACTTCTTCTATAAGTCATTCAAAACTGGATAAATACCCTTCAGATGTCACCTCCAACTGTGTTTATGAATTTAAGTGCAGTTGAGGGAGCAATTACATTGGAAGGACCGAAAGAAAGGCTTCTATCCGATTTTCTGAACATATTCCAAGAAACCTGTGGCTGAAAGGAAGCAAATATTCTTAGAGTGCAATTACCAGATATATTGTTGATACCAGACATCTCGTAGAGATCTCTCAGTCCTTCAAAATATTAAAAAGACAAAGGATAGAAGATTTACTATGATTTGTCGAGGCGATCGCAGTCAAACGATTTAAACCAGACTTATGCATTCAGAAAGAGAGTTTGATTAATTTCTCGCTCCCTTGGTAAATGAATTTTGATTTTGGATTACACTAATTAGTCATCCAATTCAGTGATCTCAACTCACTGAACAAATCCCAATCTTATAAACTGTAACCGCTTTTGTTTCTTGAGTTGTTATGTGAACCTACAAGCCAACAATGCTTGTTAATTTTTTCTGTTTTCTGTCTCACTCCTCCCCCTCTTTTCTACTTTGAAAGCGTAAAAATTGATGATGAAAACTTAAACAAAAAACTGTAATGCTCACTTTTTACAGTGTTTCTTCTCTACTACCACTCAAACATTAAAGTATGTTATTATCGTGTATATAACCATTGTAATTTCAGGAAGTCTACAGTTGATGAGAACCTGTGAAATAGAATGATGATATCATTTTATACTGCAAATTTCGTCTTCCTTTCCTTATCGAAATTTATCAAGGGAACCAAATGTATGAAATTATATTATTTTTCTTAACTGGATCTATTTGATCTTTTAGCCGACAAAGTTTATCTCTGAAAGGGTTGGTTGGTTGGTTTAAGTGTTACCCCAATTCCATCCTCATTGAGAATCCTACATAAGGTCTCTGGCACTCCTTTTTTGTACAGCTGTACCACAGAGGCTTTGAATTTCATATTATTTCAGTTATTTTCGTCATTTTTCTTACTAATCTTAGTCTTTCTATGGTTCTTCATATGTTTTGTTCTTGCTAACACTTCTCACAAAGAATATTTCCAACAGCCTGTTGCACACCTTTATCAACAACTGTCCTCGCTCTATACTGAAGATCAGATGGCCGGAAAGAATCACCAACATGAAACTATGGGAAGAAACAAAACAAGAATCAATCGCCCATCAAATATGCAGGAGAAAGTGGAGATGGATTGGACACTCGCTGAGGAGGCCGTTGGGTGACATCGCGCGTCAGGCCAACACTCGAGTGGAACCCGAAAGGGAAGCGACGAGTGGGACGTCCAAGGGTGACATGGAGGAGATCGTTTGAAGAGGAGTTGAAACAGTATGGACTAACATGGATGCAGGTGAAAAGTAAAGCAGAAGAGAGAAGCAAGTGGAGGCGTGTAGTTGAAGCCCTATGTTCCACTAGGAACCCAAGGGAACATTAATAATATAATAATAATAACACTCCTCAGAAAGTCAGACTGTTAACAGGTTTTTCTTTGCTCTGTATCAATATACAGTTCATTCAAATTGCTATTAAATTAAATCTTTTATCTAAGTGGTCGACAATTTATCATATTTGTATTTTTCTTAATTTATTCACCTTTTTTAACAGCTTCTTCACTGAACACAGATTCAAATTTTCAACTCAAACTGTCAGACACTGTAAACAATTTAAGCGTACCAATTAATTCAACAGTTCATTTAAGGTGTCAACTTCCAATTATACCAAAACAAAAGGATAGTGTTTACGTGATATGGAGATTTAGACATTCACATAAAGATCCAGCACCGAATACATGGAGTTTTATTCATAAAGATGATGATTTAGCTAGATGTCCAGAACCACCATACACATGTGAATTTGTTAACCAGTACGTCGTGTTGAACAGACTGAATCAATCTCTTTTCAATAACCCAAGTGAAGATGGAGCACCATTTTCATCAAATGACATTGAACTTATTCATCGAAGACAACTATTCACATTGAAACTGACTAACTTACAACCAGATATGAATGGTTTATTTCAATGTCATGTTCTGGTTAATTTGGATGCTTACGATAAACGTGGACATTTGAATATTTTAGGTAAGAAATACTTTTTTATTCACTTAAACCCTCTCTATTATTTGTATTTCCCCGGATTCTGTAGGGCTTCATCCTGTCCTCTCCAGTCCCTTTTAGCTGACTTCATGATTGTCCATAAGCTTTCGCCTCCTCCTCCTCACATGATCTGCTCCATATCACTGTTGGATATGTGCCCAACTCGTCGTTTTCAATTTGGGTTCCACTCCAGCGCCTGGCACTTTAATAACCATCTAATGCTTGAAATTTATCCGCAACTAAATTCAACTAGAAATTTGGAAAGCATACTGACCTTTCGATGCAGTGAAAGTGTACTTGTAAGCTACTGAAACCACTTGGAAATATAACGGCCAATTATCAATTAAAATTAAATGTGTTTGTTAAATGGTTAGCAAAGTGGTGCGCTCCTGTAAATAGTTTGTGACCTGTCCTTTGTTCTTAACATGAAAGAAAATGTTGAATAGTACAAACTTTGAGATTAAATGAAGGCAAGATTTTATACCAACTTACTGTATTGTCTATTGGTGAAGAATATTTACATTCGACTACAAAATAAGTCATTGCTTCCCTCTTAAATGTTTAACATTCGCAATAATCAGAATCGCTCAAAAACTGAGTAGAAATGCAGGAAATAAGCTCTGTGTTGATAAATCATAAAATCAGTGCTTCAATAGAACAGACAGAGAATGAGAGAGAGAGAAAAAGAATCGGCAAATTTCAGCAATAGCGTTCCAAGGGAAACGAACGCACAACTTACCTTCAGACGATCAGTCATAAAAATAAGTGACTTCTGCACAAAAACTGACGTATATTTACAAGAAAATGCAAGAAAACACATTAAATAGGTTATCTTAAAAATACATCCTAGTTATAATGAGAAGTATCAGTTGCTAAGTTAGACTAGTTTCTCTACATGTATTCACCGAGGTGACTGAAAATGAGCTGTTATTTCTAAATTGTTTATCTCTCTTATTCTGTTGTGCAGTCTTCCTTAGAACCCTTGGTTGAATTACTATGGTTTCCAGTAAGAGGATCGATGACTACTTACCAAGAAAATGTGGACACCAACCCTAATTACAACCCTTACAACCGTGAACCTAACCCCAATGCTAATTATAACCCTGATCCTAGCATTAACCCCAATACTTACCTTAACCCTAATCCTAACCCTAACGAGCTATTAACACATTGTCAAAATAGTACTTAAAAACGTGATCTACGTGAAATTTGCTGCTTAATCGGTGAACAGCGTTGATATTTCAGCTATGATAATGACAGGTGCCGTCAGCCAACGACTAGCATGCGTTCAGGTTCATTGGAGCATTCGCACTCCTGGGATGCTATTGTTGAACTTCACCAAGGAATCAATTGAAGTCATAATTCGTGTAGATGATCAAGTTTTTGACTAATGATATGATTTAGGTAGATTGTAGCAAAAGACTTACAGTTGTGAGAGCTAAACAACTATTTCATCCATAAGAATTAGCATCTAACACCTCTTACAGCACAGAACATAAGTTAGATCTGAGTTCCCGCAGAGATTTCCATTCAGATTCTGATACATAGATGTTCTAGTTTACTATCTGTAACTTGACTATCAAATACAAATACAGTCACTAAACGACTACTGTTAATTAACTATGAAGAATGTTTCAACAGGACACTTCTTATACGAATTAAGAAATCAGGAAATGAGAGAAACACCATGTGAAGGCCGAGATTTATATGACTTGACAAGAAAGATTATCATCATAGTATTACTGTTTTCTTTAGTTCCTAGAGGAACATAGGACTTCAGCCATACGTCTCCACTGAGTTCCATTCTCTGCCAACCTTTTCACCTGGCTCCTTTTCTACCCACATGATTTCATCTCCTCTTCACATGACTTCCTCCGTGTAACCCTCACACTGACCACCAACTCGTGGCTTCCCATTCGAGTTCCACCCGAGCGATGGCCTGGCTTGTGATGCCAGTCACTTGGTGGTTTTCCCAGAGTGTGGCCGATCCACCTCCATTTCTTCCTACAGATTTTTTGCACAGTCGGTTCTTGGTTGGTTCGCCCTCAGAGATCCCTCACTACTGCTGATCTTTTTTGGTCGGCCATCTGATCTTGAGTATTCAGAGAAGACAGCTGTTGATGTAGGTTTGTAGTTTGTTTGACGCGTTCTTTATGACGCGCCAAGTCTCTGATCAGTATAGTAAGTAGCACTGACTCCACATTGCAGTATCCGAATCTATATTTTTCATGCTGAGTGCTGTTGACCTCCACACAAACTTGAGAGTAGTGAAAGCTCACCTTGCTTTCCCGACCCTCGCTGCTTTGATATCCTTATGAATTCCGTCCGCCTGTAGTTGAAACGATGATTCCCAGGTAGGCAGGTGTGTAAAGGAGGTTACTTCTTTCAGATTTCTCCCATTTATGCTGGTTGATTGTTGTCTGTTGTTGTTGCTGCTGCTATTGGCCAGGAATCTTCATCACCTCCGTTTACTCTATGTTCACATGAAGTCCTATCTTTGATGCTTCTTCTGCCAACTTGTTGCTTTTCACTTGCATATCTTCCAGTTTGTGGGGAATCAGACATATATCATCGGCGAAGTCCAGATCCTCCAAGATTTTTGTGTGGGTCCATTTTATACCTGTTGCACTATCCAGTCTACCGCAATCAGGTAAAATCGCTGGAGATAGTAGGCAGCCTTGACAAGAGAGAGTTTCATACTAATTTATAATGTTAAGCCAAAATAGCTTTATTTCTAAGAGTAGATACAATATACAAATCTTTGTAGGAAATTTAGAAGAGACAGTATACCAAAGACAATCTTAATAGTTTCAGTGAGTGGATGAAGTAGTTTCTAAATAGTTTCTAACTTTTCTACTGCATAAATACTGTCCAGTAGACAGTTACTTTTATCATATACCATGCATATATATATATTTATATATAGCTGGATATATACCTGTATAGTATTTCTCCCTATTCAATGAAACATGTAATTATATACACATTTATTTACATATACCTGCTGAACAAATGTTGATCCAGGCAGTTGAAGATGTTATCTTACTGTCATTAGAAGTGATACTACTTATATGAGGAGTAATATGATTATAATGTTCATATATATGTTTATATATATTTATATACATGCTTCTGTAGACATTATCGTTTCTCTCCCCTCCCTTTCAATGACAAATGCAACCAGCAGCATGTGAATGAACACACTTGACTAGTAGAGATGGGAAAGAGATTAGTATTGTTATTTTTATTCCTGAACATTAACAATTCGATAATTATTACTGGTATCATTATTATTATTATTATGACTATTGTTGTTAATATCAGTTAAAAACAAGTTGGCATCAGAAATATTGTATATGTTCATTTAGAAAAACCCTGTTAAGATATTTTCACTGTTCATATCTCTGTGTCTGTTTAGCAGGAGTAGAAATAGGAAGTGATTCTAATACTTTTCCTTCTCTTTCAAAACAAATGTTTCACTGCAATGACATACTTAGGCATGTCAGTTAATCATAGATTAGTTAACTTAAGTGATTCAATAAAGCTGTGCCAGTGGTTCATCAGCAGGAGAATGCTTGCCAACCACGCATGTCGTCCTTGGTTTGATCACTGCTCAAATCACTTCCACACTTATCGCTTATCTGGTAAAGATGAAAGGTTGGATGTGAGGCTGGTAACCTCACCACATAAAAAAGATAAACACTTACGCTACTGAAAACTCAAAGCTGAAGCTTGAAGTCCTATTCAAATGAACTTTCGTCAAGATTTGACAGAATAGTTCTAAAATATTTTAGCGCCGAGTGAGAAGTAGACATTTGTAAAAAAATTATATTTGTAAAATCTCAGCGAGATTGAAATGAGAAATTCCAACGTTTCGTTCGGCAATCTGCTCCGAACTTCTACTTCTCACTCGGCGCCCAAATATTTTAGAACTATTCTGTTAAATCTTGCCGAAAGTTCATTTGAATTATATTGCAATCGAATTAAATTAACAAAGAAACTGTTTAATTGGAACAATCATCGTGTTTTCACTCTCCGTTGTCTGCAACATAATAATGCATATCCTAAATCCGTAGCTGTCGAGTCACCTGACAACTCCAGTTCAGGTCAAATAAAGCAGCTCAATCTTCAGAAAGAAGACAAAGCAATAAGTCCGACAGGGTGCTTCTACTAAACTCTAATCCTAAACACCATAATTTTGAAAATACGTCTAATCATAAAATTCTAGATACTAACAGTGTGAACAGACATGAAGGTGTGATGTTAGCTGATGCATAGGAAATCCTTATTAATAAATAAAAGTAGATATGTATTAATATTAATACTTGGTCAAAATTCTCGACTGTCCATATCTTCTTATGGAGACGTTAAGAAATGTTTTACAACTGTTTACCCACACACACATACACACTGTTTAAAGTGTTCAACAAAGGTAGACCAATATTTGTAAGTCCGAGGTCAAATTTTGATCACAGCTCATAAAATTTTGTTTATTATACTTGTTGATACTTGTTGAATGACTCATGATTGGACAAAGTTTTTAAAAACAAAAGATGTGCCTTTTATATATAAACCTCTGTTGCGTTAATTTCGATTAATTTCCCTGAAGAAGTTCGGACCAGATTGCTGAACGAAACGTTGGAATTACTCATTTCAGTCTCGCTGAGATTTTACAAATATAATTTTTTACAAATGTCTTGAATTCCTATGTTCCCCCTTGGAGTGCAAAGGAATAAAATTTTTTTTAAATAAATTCAGCAGGACTTCTACTAAAATAAGGACAGAAGTATGCCGGGTGAACTGATAAAGACTTCCAGATTCTAATGGTATCATTACAATCACCAAAAGTTTCAGGCTTAAATCAGAATGGCAAGTTACCTTGACCTTACTGTACTTTCAGGCGATCTTAGTCCAAGTGAAATGAATCTTCACTATACTTCGGTGACTACAGACTACTTCTCAGTGGGTAATAATGTATTTTACAA